GGTAAGTTGTATTTACATTTTCATTTGTTTGTAGGTATTTTTTAATTTCCTCTTTAATTTCTTCTGTGTGCTTCATTTTTCTATTAGCCTAAAACTGTTCCAAAAATTAAACCTTTTAATTTAAAAAATGGCCAAATGATTTAAACAGACGTCTCTCCAAAGTAGATATACAATCAATATACACATGAAGAAGTGTTCAATATCATTAATCATTAAAGAAACCTAAATTAATGAGACGCAACTTCATAGCCACTAGGATGGTTATAATCAAGTACAGCAAGGAGTGCTGATGAGGGTGAGAAAAATGTTGGAAGCATCGTACCCTGGAAGTGAGAATGTAGATGAGAGAGGTTCATGAGAGATGTGAGATGTAGCTGAGCATTCCGTCATACCCTGGAAGTAGAATGTAACCATTTTATCATACAACCCAGCAATTTCACTCGCACTGCAAGATAAATGAGAAGATGTAACCAAGTGAAACTTGCAAATGATTGTTCATAGCAGAAGTGGAATCCAAAGGTCCATGATAGGGGAATGGATAAACAAACTGAGTATCCATACAATGGAATATTGTTCAGAACTGACAAGGAAATAAGCACCAATACATACTACCATATAGATGAATGCTGAAAATATTAAGGCAAATAAAGAATCAAGTCAGTAAAGACCATATATTATATAGTTGTATTTTTATGAAATATCCAGGGAAGGCCAGTCTGCAGAAACAGACAGTAGAGCAGTGGCCGCAGAGGGTAGGGAAGAAGAGAATTAGGGAAGAATCATAAACGCGGAGTTTGGGGAAAATGTTGAAAATACTCTCTTTTCATTATGGTTGACAATTATACAACTCTGTGAATGTACCAAAAATCATAGAATTCTGTATTTTAAATGAGTAATTGTATAGTACATGAATTATGTCTCAGTGAATTTGTTATAATTTTTAAATGAATGTTTAAAATTAAATATAAAGCCAGATGGCCTCAGAATCAAGTCTGATTCAATCAGTCAGTCAAAAACCAGTAAAAACGCCTGGTAACATGACGGTTAATTACTTTAGATTTATGATTTAAATTGTAATGTACTTAATGATTATTTTTTCAAATATAGGAATTTTCCTTGTTATTGCTGCTCAAAATAAGAACTTTTGTCTAAAAATAAAAATTTTAAAAATTGAAAAGACTTGGCGAGAAGTTCAGCATGAAGGCCTTGGATTCAGGTCTCAATATCAGGAAAAAGAAACTTTAGCTGCAGAAAGCAGGCATATGACTAATACAACATCAACGAGATGTTCAAGTTAACACAAGTCATAAGTGGCCAAGACAGAATTTTAAAACAGACACTAGAAGAATAAGACTAGTAGCCATTCTACATGGAGGGAAAGTCTTCCAGGCCTACAAAACTACAACTGACAGCATAAATTAAAAAATAACACAAAATTCAAGGTTCAGAGTTTGTTGTTCTTACTGTAAGACATCTTTTGAGAAAACCCAGGCTCCTGTGATCAAACCCTGTTTACATGAGGCAGTCCCCTCATTCTGATTGTTCCTCTGATATGGCCATTTTCATGGGTTCCCATCAATGCTCCATTCATGCCACCCCAGAGCAAGTCTCCCCTGGAGATTTAACAAAAGGCAAGATGTAGCACCAGCCACACAGAAGTCTTGCCTGCGTGCCTCAGTCTCCAGGAATTCATTCCTCCCAAGTGACGGCCATCTGCCATCTGCCTCACACGCCTGTGTTGCCAGTGGGAACGTGCCACTGGAGACTCCAAAATGGAAGCACAAGGAAGAGGTGGGCTGCACACTCAGTTCGTCCAGGCACCGTGATTTGTCGGCAGATGCTGAGCAAGCACGTACAGGAACGGTGTATGGTATCCGTGCACCTGGCTGAAGCTAGAGTAGGTACCATCCCTATAGATACAGGACTGAACAAAAAAAGATGGACCCAAAGATGTCAAGAAAATCCCCGTCTAAACCTGTTATTGTCCAACTCTCACAAGAGTCAAGTGCAGAGTTCATGGGGCCAAAGAACAAATGAATCTAAAGCCAGGAAACTAAGATAAAGATTATCCCAAGACCTATGACACTTCTGAGGCCTCAGCTGAAGAAAATTCATAATAACTTCAGAGTAACACAGATTCATAATAACTTCAGAGTAACAGAGATTACCCTTGGGAAAAGTAACCACCAGACAACACAGCACACAGTAAAAGGAGATCCGTATACTAACACAATGAGTAATAAACCAAGGAAAACAGCAAGTTGGAATAATCAGTGATGTGGAAAATAATCTCAATTTATTACACAAAAATTTATGATTCATGCAGTAGACATAGCATAGGCTAATCACCATTGGAAAAACTTGCATGTATATATGTTAGGTGTACATGATAAAATACCACAAACACAAACCACATATATATATATATATACATATGAAGAGAGAAAGGAGAGAAAGAGAGAGAGAGACTGGAAGCTTATACACCAGAACTTAGTGATTAGCCCAACATTATAGATGATTATTATTCTAGTTTTATATCTATAATGAACGTGAAGCCAGGCGTGGTGGCACATGTCTGTTATCCCAGCACTCAGGAGGCTGAGGCAAGAGGAACACAGTGCTTTTGAGGCCAGCCTTGGCTCCACAGTGAGTTCAAGGCCAGCCTGAAGTACACTGTGAGACCCTCCTCCCACAAAAGAAAGCAAGAAAAAGATTACATGGCAGAAGTGATTATAACGTGACTCAAAAGACAAAGAAATATTTTGTAAGACATATTTTACGAATTTTTACTGTAAAACAAATTTATATTTCTGAAGGAAAAAACTCTGGAATTTCACCATTTAAAAAAATTACATTAATATTCTGGGAGGCTGAGGCAGGCGGGTTGAAGTCTGAGCCCAATCTGGGGAACGTAGCGAGACCTTGTCTCAAAAATTAAAAAAATAAAAAATGAATTTAAAAAATACATGAAAATATGAAAACACGGACAAAGGACTTTCTTTCCTGTAATTGTCCTGGTGGAGTACATATTAGCTACATTACCTTTTCAATAGCATCGTAGCATGCCTCCAGTCTCTGAATTCTACCTTGTATAACTGTACTAGCGCTCTTATAGTCCATCAGCCAGTGTTGATACTCTTCCTCAGCCAGGTCAGTATAGGCCACACACAGAGTTCTCAGGCCTGCGAAAAAGAACATGATCAACCTGGTGGTGTCAGCGGTGACCAAGGAGAAGCAGAGCCCTTGCAAGAATTTTAACGAGCTTTGCCCTTCCCTGTACGGTCTGCCCGGCTCCCTGTCCCACTCCTCTCCACCCATCCTTGTCTTCCGTGGTGTTCCTGCTGTCCTCTGTCTTCCAGACTCTTCCGCTTTCTCAACCGTCCTCGGCTGGGCCTCCCTCCGCAGGGAAGCCGCAGGTTCTCCCTCCCGCCCCTTCTTCCTTCAGCCTCTGCCTAACTGAACTCTAGCCGGAGGTCTGCATCACTCCCTGCTCTCTCGTCCTGCTCTGTCTTTCTTCCTAGCGCTTAGTGCCATCTGCCATTATCTACTGATCAGCAGATTCCTTCAGGGCCTGAGGCTTGAGCTTCATTCCACATTTCATTCACTACTGTCCCAGAGGCCTAGAACAGTAGATGCCACTTCATAGATGCCCAGGAACTGTTTGTTGATTGAGTGAGTGAATGAATGGATGGATGCAGGTGAGTGTCTTAGTTACTGCCGGATCTCTAAAGCAACAGAACATTAACTTAAGTCCCACTATTTCAGGACATGTTGAAGAAACATTTTAAAGCCATACTGTACTATTTTAGGCTAACACTAATATTTTAGATAGCAGCAAGAGGCCCAGTGTAGAAGCCTGCAAAAAATATTCACACTTTCAGGCTGGAACATGTCTGTACGAAATAGCAGCTACAAAACTAAGAGAAAATTAGTACAGCTTTCAGGATATTACTACTGGGGAATGAAAGAAAGAATAAAGTTATATCATGTACACATACAAATTCCCTATGGTAAATGTGATCATTATGTATAGCTAAAATGTGCCAATAAAATCTGATTTTAAAAAGGATATTCGTAGCTTTACCATTATATAACGTCACACCCGGCTCTCAAAGCTTCTGCTAGACTTCCAGTGAATGTTTTCCCCTGTGTGAAACTCACTCATGGAACTGTATTTCCTTAAGAGACACATGAGAACACTGTTGCAGAAGCGGGAACAGACCAGAGAGAAGACATGGTACCGAGGATCTTTGGAAAGCATACCGCTTTATTACACTAGTGGGCTGATGGGACTCTCAGTTCCAAATCATCAGCCCCATCTTGAGGTTTTACAGTCACTTATATGGGTTGCTGGGAGGAAATACAAAAAGCAAATGACAGGATATTTTCTAATTGGTTACATACATTTGGTCATACCTTGTTAAGCAGCTTTACTTTGTGCAGGTTAAATGGAAGTCTCTTTTACCATACAGCAGAGAAGTCAAGGGCTGGGGTGAGCAGGAAGAACCAATCATTGTCTTAGACCAAACCGGTCCATCTCGAGGTGATAAATCGTTGAAACAAGCTAACATAATGAGAGGCACCGTCCGGCTGAGTTACACTTGTCTTACAAGTTCCAGGTGGCACTGGAACGCCATGGCTAGTGGAGTTTTGTTATTCTCTAATTTTTTTTTTGGGGGGGGCGGGTTTTCCGATACCGAGACTCGAACTGATGACCTCGCTTTTGCAAGGCAGGCACTGTGCCACTGAGTTAAATCCCCAGCCCCAAAACTTTATTTAGTTTTTTATTTTTTCTGTGGTACCAGGGATCGAACTGATGACCTTGTGCTTGCCAGGCAGGCACTTATGCCACTGAGCTACATCCCCAGCCCTGTTATTCTCTAATTACGAGAACAGGTTGCTTTGCTTGCCCGTTTTGAATCTAGTGTCTAGCGACAAATTTTAAATTGCCTTTGCAACACCAGAAGGAAAGCAGGAAAACGTCAACTATGTCAGTTTTTTAGTTACATGGATGAAATAACCAACTTCAAAACGTACAACACATCCTGGAAAAAGCCTGTGTTTCTCTCCAACTGTGGGCTGAGTTCCTAATACAACTGGGTAAAAGGCAATAGCACAGAGAAGTGGACAGTGATGAGCCAGAGAGAGGGAACACACAGTGAAAACACACATTTTACTGCTTGCTCATAGGCACAGAAGTGCTGAAAGGGAAAACAAAGAGAAAATAAAAATGTCTCAGCATGGTTTCTTTGAGAAGTCTTCAGCAAACTGAAGATATTACGAAGTCCCACACACAAATGCACTCCCTGTGCTCACTACTATGTCCCTAAAGCACCGGTGACATATTCAGGTTATAATTTCAACACTAGCATTTCCAAAGGGAAGGGATTGCCAACAACTTCCTCTCACCTTCCATGGCAAAATGTTCCAGATGGGTTAATGTCTCTGCCATAAATAGAGAGTCTTTTGAAAGTCGCTCATAAATCACTGTATCCTATTAAAAAAAAAAAAAACTCCCCGTGATTAACATATAACATGCCAGTATATAATACAAGCTTTTGAGTCAGAATTGCAAATGCTGTTTTATAATTTTACTGTTATAGGTAACTAGTGGGAGGCAGTTTGAGCAGCCAGGGTGCGATGCAACTCCAGAATAAGTAGAGAAATAAGCTTTAAAGTATGAATAGGCTTAGTCACTTTAGATAAAGTTAAGGCCACCCACTGCATATAAGACATGCTGGAGAAAAAAATTCTAATCGTTTCACATAGCCTCAAATTTATCAAAGACATTTTTAAAATCTATGAAAAACCACACCTGGCAGAAATAATCAGAGGAGTTAAATGTCACATCTTAAATGATGATTGGAATGCAAGCCAGTTTTCTAATCCTGAAGAGGCAGTTAGGCAGTCTCAGCCCAAATGGGTCCACATACATAAAACCAAGATAAAAAATGCCAATAAAATCCAAGGGTAGAGAGAAAAGAGTAAGTTGCACTTCTTGTTAATTATTTCAGGCAGTTGAGCAATTCACAGATCTTCCCCTACTGTTTTAAACTTGATAAAAGCAAACAAAAAACTATTTGCCTCCTTGTATGTGAAGAGAAAACTCTTATCAAATAGAAAATATTTCATTATAAAAATGTACTAAAATGGCAAGTGTTTTATTGACCTATTTATTAGAACTGGGAAGACTGTACGTGATTGGGGGGCAGGGGTGTGTGGGAGGAGTAGCCAATATCAATAGACTGAATAAGAACTGTATAATAAGAATTGTGAAAATACAGTGTAATTTTTTTGTTACTGAATTATTCTCAAGATTTAAATAAAATGACTAATAATATGATAGGAGGTTTACAACATCTGCAAAATTGAAATATCTGGCCACAAAAACACAAAGATTTGGAAGAAAGAAACACAATTACAGTATTATAAGGGTTTCATATTAGACTTGACATAGTATAGATCACTTGAAAGTAAAATGTAATAAATTTTAAATGCCCAGTATGAACTATTAAAATTTTTTTAAAAAGAGATAAATTGTAATAAAAATGTTCAAGTAACCTAGTAAGGGGAAGAAGAACAGATGGAGAAAATAGAAAATGAATCACAAGATGATATTCTTAAACCTCATCTATCAAAAAGCAATGCAACCCTCAGCCCTGCGCGCCCTGCGCCAAGACAGCCAGTGTTCAGGGAGCGGCTGGACTCCTGGGCTCAAGTCTGTGCTCGCCCACACTGCCACGGTTCCCAGCTGAAACGCACGGAGAGAGCCAGGTATTTCCCAGCTACTCCCTGAGGGCAGCGTGTGCATCAGGACCCCGCCGCCATTAAAGACGGAGTCTTGGCCTCCCTGCTCCCGCGGCAGAGAGGTGGATTTCACTCGGAAGCCCCAGGGTCTTCCCTGGCTGCGGGTGGGGTGAACAGACTCTCAACCGTGCACACCCTTCTCCGAGTGAGCGCGTGCTCCAAAAGGCACTGACCAGAGGTGCAAGTCTGAGCTTTGCCTTTACCCAGACCCCCTAGCCAGT